AGTAACCAAATGCTCAGCTATTTTCTGACTCAACAGGAGTCACAGTTTAAGTTTTACAATTACAAAGACTCACAGAAAATGAGTTTTATGATGCTAATATATGAGGCAGCAAAAGGGCTCAGATAAAGGCTTGCAACCAAGCCTAATGACCTGCGTTTGATTCCTGGGCCCCATAGAATGAAAATAGAGAACCAACTTCTGCAAGTTGTCCTGGCTGCCACCTGTGTTCTGTTACACTCTTCCGTATACACACACAAACACTAAATAAATGCAAAAAAAAATTCCGTGGGGCTGGAGAGATGGCTCAGAGGTTAAGAGCATTGCCTGCTCTTCCAAAGGTCCTGAGTTCAATTCCCAGCAACCACATGGTGGCTCACAACCATCTGTAACAGGGTCTGGTGCCCTCTTCTGGCTTGCAGGCATACACACACAGACAGAATATTGTATACATAATAAATAAATAAATATTTAAAAAAAAATTCCGTAAGATGCTTTTCTGTGTTCATCACTCCACACACAATAGTGTCTTTAACCAACTCACCAAACCTAATCGTAGTAAGTGTAAATCCACAGCCAATGCCATTTTAAAAGGTGACACATTACCCTACTGCCCCCATTTTTTTGAGGTGCTAGGCAAGCAATCCTACCATTGAGCTCCATTTCCCAAATTCTTTTTTTAATGTTTCTGAAAACTGGCATCTTCATCTGTGAGTTAGACAACTAGGAGATCCTGGAACAAGAATGATGGGGAAGCTTGTTCCCAGGAACCTGTTTATTGTTTGGATTCAAACTACTACATGTATTATCTACTCAAAATAAATAAAATTTAAATTTAGAAAAGCACAAGAACTCCTTTTAAGGGCGAGGGATACACACACAGCTCAGTGGTCAGGAGCGGTATACCTAGCATTCATAAGGTTGGGGTTTGACTCCTAGTACAGCCAACTTCCTTTAGTAATAGTCTAAAAATAACCAAGAAATATACGGCACATCCTTAACTCTTACAATTATAATCCCCCAACTACACTTTAATCCTACTGTGAAACTGTTACCAAAACTGTACAGCCTCTCTCTTGTTCTTTATCCTACCACAAAATGCTAACAAAAAAATTTAATGTATTTTCCACTAGAAAAATGTCAAAAGGAAAAAAAGATAAAAGCACAATTATGACCTTTGGCTTATTATACTTAATATCCAGTCTATGACCTCACAACAAATACCAGTGCCTGGGACAGGATAAATCCATGTATGTAACTACAAGCCCATGTGAAAATTGAGTGCACATAGATGTATGAGTAAAACATTACTCACATTAGACCAAGGGCATACTGGAAAATATCCCCAGCCAGCATCAACCACAGTAATCTTACATGAGACCCAATTTTTTCCTTCTGAGAAAACTTCCACTGAAAAGTGGACACAACTGAACAGTGGGCATGTGCTCCTCTCCTTTCAGCTGGGGAGTTAAAGAACATGAACGTCACTCAAAATAATTCAGTTAGCTAAGAGCAGAGCTCAGTTCTTGACCTCCTAACAAATTAGGTTAAAAAGTGGTCTGACTGTCCCAGACCAACATTTAGGGCAAATGGACAACTCTGTCTAGCCCTCTGACTTTGGGCACTCCACAGAGGCCTATCCTGCGGCCTCCATGCCCTACCCAAGGCAACAAAGAGAGCTCTAGAGTCAGGCTCCATGAAAAGCAAAGGCCTGGTTCAGCCAGCCTTCTCTAAGCTCTCCCTAGCCTCCTAGGCCCATACTCCTCTTATCCAACTAGCTGCCCTAGAACCACCTAAACTCAAGGCCTGAATTTTCTTCTTAGAGTCTTACACTTCATCATTCCTCTAGCAGAAGCTGAATACTTCACAAAAAAAAAAAAAAACAGCAAAAGAAAACCTTTCCCAGCCCCTTTCCAGACTGATAAACTAGGGATGGATAGAGTGGCAGAGCAGAAACTAACGCATCAGATATGAGTGACGATCCGTGCCATCCTCACTCTCCTGAAGAATATGAGTTAGGAAACCTACATTTAAAAGAGATAGCTAATAGGGAAGTTTCACATGAAACAATTTTAGGTCACAGAGATGCCAGTCCCTTGGGTGGTGTTTACAACCTGGAACAAGGTGGAAGAGCTTACTAACTCCATTTAAGTACGTTTCCAACACGAACTTTAGAACTATGGTCATTTATTACAGTTGTCTGTGTTGCCTCTTAACTCAGAAACCCCACTACACTACAGACTTAGAGTAAGCCTAAGAGAATTATAGTTATTTAAAATTGGACTAATCCCTGCTACTGGTACAAGATGCTTCTGAAAGAGGAAGTTACCCACCAGTATACACAATGAGCTGTCCTTTATCGGGTCTGGTGAGCTAGTGTTACAGCCCCCAAGGTTCTACTTTACTCATTCTTTTCTCCCAAGAACATTACCACGCTAGCTTGGAATGTAAGATTCAGAGAACCCTGACAGAAGATCCCAACTAGAGCCCCTCTCTTAGATCACAGGAGCCTACCAGATTACTTACCCAGATGGGTACATTCCAAGCCTTAAAACAGAGTTGTAAACTCTCGTTTCCGTAGGCATACCTTTGAGAGGGGCATACTTAAGATTCAATGTATTATCCACCGCCCATCACCTGCATGAAACTTTAATGTAGAAATCAGCTGCTTCAAAAAGACCATGGCCAGATAACAAAGCATGTAAATCTTCACTCAAAAGAACCAAGAAACAAAAAAAGACTACCTTAGAAACCAGACCTAGTATTGTGGTATATGTGCTTCTTCCATGTTTTTAACTACCTTTCATCACTTAGTCCTATTCAACTTATTCAAAGAAATTAAAAGAGCTGCCACAGAAGACTGGAAGGTAGTTAGTTCACAGGAAAGTTAAAAATAAAAAAAGGGGGGCCAGGCAGTGGTGGCACATGCCTTTAATCCCAGCACTCGGGAGGCAGAGGCAGGCGGATCTCTGTGAGTTCGAGACCAGCCTGGTCTACAAGAGCTAGTTCCAGGAGAGGCACCAAAAACTTCAGAGAAACCCTGTCTCGAAAATCAAAAATAAATAAATAAGTAAATAAATAAATAAAGGGGAGGGATGCTGGAAAATAAACACAACTCAAAACTATGTGTAATAAGAGTACGGTATACTCTTATTTATGTAGTGTCTACTACCCATCACAGCATAGGTTTGTGAAAAGCTCCCCTACGAAGCAAAGACACCTAAACTCTACCATCATTCTACCCATCTGGGGCTGACTCTAACTTCCCTAAACCGACCTCACACATCTTTCTTCTACTCTATTTATTCTTCTGTAAGGAACTCTGTGTTCCATCTTCTCTCTCACATGCTCCCTGTCCAACCCCCCAATCTCTGGTCTGGTCCCCAAAAGTAGACCTCATTCCTTCACCTCTCCAAGTAAAAGCCCTATATGTATTCTCTTTCCCTACTGGCTTCTTCCTCTGGAGAAAGGGGGTTGGCGTCTTCAAGCACTGAACTTGAGCCACCTTGGTGAGCCCTCCCATTCAGGAGCCACTGTATTTTTCTTAACCCCAATAATCTTTTGTCCACAAAGTGGTCAAGCATCAGCTAAGCAGCCTCTCTACCTTGCTTGTGTTAGAGCCTAAGATCTTTCATCCTATGATCTCCTCCTCTACTGTCTTCTTAGAAATAACAGAAACAGGTAATACACTTTCTAGTGTTTGGGTGGTAACCTCAAACAAATACTAGAAAGATGAATACAGGAGGGCCATGAGTTCAAAGCTGGCTTGGGCCACACAGTGAGACTATCTCAAAACACCACACACAAAAGAAAACAATCAGTCTCACATATAACCCACAGCGGTTGTGCAATCTTCAGCAAACCCTTGAACTTGATCTCACTAATCAAAATTCGCAAGACGTTTCCAGATTCCCTCACACTCTGCCTTATTCCCTGCTTGTATCAACTACATCATCACCACCAAAACAGTCAGATGTCTATTTACATGCAGTCATCCAACATCTGTTTTCCAAAGATTTACACAGAAGCCCTTACTACAGTTAAAACAGTACCCCTCCCACCAATTACTATTTCAACCACAATGGCTCCAGCTTAGCTCTTCCCCAGAGTTCCAACGTGACAGCTGTGTCAGAAGTTATCAGTCTCCTTTACTAGGGAGGAGCAGTCACCCTCAACTGCACTGTGTGGGAAAGGGAGATGGAGAGGAGAGGAGAGAGAGACAGGGCTAACACTGCCGTCATCCCACCTGCTACATCTGCATTTCTCCCTGGCTAGCAGCATCCCTTTCATTTCTGTCCAGCCCACTAGCTGAAAAGGGCTCGGCCTCTTGAATAAATCCATTGCAAGTCCTTACCTCACACTCAGAAAGAGTCAGCATTGTGGCTCCCAAGTACCAGACCTTCAGTGTTATTTTTAAAACACAAAACCCTTTCTCAAGCTAGCCCTGACATCTGTCTTCCAAGATGTAGGCCAATTAATGAAATAATCTAGGCAAAGCACTTTCTACGGAAAACCCGTTTGCTGAAGGGATTAACAACTACAAACTGGACCAGGTTAAGGCAAGTAACTAACAACCGCTCCGTCAGCCTCCGGAGAGGCTACAGCAGGAGCGCTGGATGGTTTGACTGAGCCGGCTTCCTAGGAATCCAGAGTTCAGAAGAGCTGCCTGCTCACAACAGTCCAACTCTGAAGTTGCAGGAGCGGCTTGATGTGGAAGCCCACACCTAATAGTCAACTCTCTAGTCCCAGAACCACCAGGGGAAAAAGTCCCCGAGACCGAGGATGTGGACAGAGCCCCGAGCAGAAAGACCCTCTTTACCACTCGCACACCTGCGGCCCCCTCGACCACGCAAGACCCGCGTCCCGAGCCGTGTGCGGCGGGCTGCTCCCCCCAGGCCACCGCGTTTCCGGGTGGGTCTGTGCGAGGAGGGAAAGTCGCCGCGGCCTGGGGACCAGCAGACGCAGCGACGGGCCCCGACCCCCGCGCGTTCCGCCGCCCTCACCGTGGCTCTGCAGGATCTCGTGCTTGAGGCCGCCGGTGTAGTCGATGAGCTCCTCCAGGCCGCGCTCGCACAGCTGCCCGTAGCCCGAGAACTTGTGCAACACCTTTTCCAGCTCGCGCTCCACCGTCACGCACTGATCCATGCCGGAGACCGCGGCGCTCGGCTCCCCGGCGCTCGGTGGTCCGCAGCGATTCGGCCCGGGCCCCACCGAGGCCGCGTCCTGCTCCTCGTCCCCCAAGGCGGCGGGCGGCGCGGGAGGCTAAGGTAAGGCGGGCGCGCTAACCGCGGCGCCGGGGTAGCCCCGCGTAGCCCTTGCCCGCCCGCCCCATGGCGCCCCGGCCCCGCCGCTCGCGCTCTCTCGCCCGCCCCACCCGGCGCCGCGTCCCGCCCCGGGCCCCCTGGCTCGCCGCGTTCGGCTGCCCCCCGGCGGCGCTGCCGATTGTTTTTGTTTTCACGGGAACCGGCCGATGACCTGGTTCTCCCGGGCGGCACCAAGAGCCGCGGCCCGGGAGGGGGTCGAGCCTCCCTCACGAGCCGAGGAGGCGGCGCGGGCCGTACCAAGCGCGGGCTCGGTGCGGGGTGCGTGGGGGAAGCAGCGGGCTAGCGCCGAGCGGAGGGACGCGCCGGCGTTCGGAAGGCGTGGGCCGTACCACGCGGGAGGCGGCGAGGGAGCGCAGCGAGGGAGGAGCGAGCGGCGCAATTGGTCCGCGCCGCTGAACGGGGAACTTCGGCGATCACGTCAACTACGCGGCCGGTAAACAAGAGGGTGGAAACCGTCCCCGGCGACTCCGCCCAGAAGCGAAAGACTGACCAATGGGCGCGGGGGTTACGAAAGAGCCGGACGTCCTCCAATCCTTGGCCGAGGCGTAAAATCTTAGCCAATCCGGAACGAGGGGCCAAACCAATGTTTGTGCTGTTGGAGGGGGTGGCTTGGAGAGCAAAGCGAGGATCTCCTTCTACCGGGAATCCGCGCGGGGAAGCTAGGCAGGAATCCGCAGGGCTGTTTTCCATAAGACTTCGCCCTAATCGCTATTTATGTTATCTCCGCGTGGCATCTTGACCAAAGTTCCGGCTTTAGGCCCGCCTCCCGAGACGAAAGGCAGTCGGGCCGCCTAGGGGCGTAGGGCCCGGGTGGGGTCGTTCACCCGGTGGAAGGTGGTGGTTCTTCCTGGTATGGCTGGTGCCTAGCGTCTAGTTCTCGTTCCCTGCTGTCCCTCCGCCTGTGAGTGGCCTTTCCTGTCGCTTCGTGCTGAGGGATTGGCAGCGGTCACGAACACGAGTCGGCGAGCTGGGCAACCTGGCCCTTGCTCCTTGCCCTTACCTTCGCAGGTTTACCACGGGGTTCCGGCCTTGGCCGGTGCCCTCTTGCTCACCAGACTGCTACCCCACTAACCTTTCGCCGAATCTCGGCCTCACAACTCCTTCTAGGTCTGGGAGAGTTCACCTTCCAGGTCCTGAACTTTCCAGTTTGCTAGTCTACTCATAGCATCCCCATATCCACCATGATTGTGTCACCTCTGCCTCCCCACATTTTCTCCATCAATCCCCCATACCTCTTATAGCACCATTTTTCCCCCACATCATTTGTCAAAGTCTTAAATACTAATTGTTTGGAGTTTCGTTTGTTTCACTTGCATCACTTAAGTAAATCTGTGAAGGGCCACCCCCTTTGTTGTGGTATGTTTGTTATCTAGAACACTGCCTGCCCCACAGTGGACAGTCTTTGTTTTCCTTTATTTAAGGTGGTAACCCTTTTGAACTTCGATTCCCGTTTCCATCATGTGGAAGCAAGTGGGGGGGGGGGGGGGAGAAATACTTCCTTGGTTGGTTAGAATTAATGGGACAACATATGATGGCCCGTAATGATAAAAGGGCGGTGCTGGATATATGGGCGCCCCAGCTGACGGCATTTCAGGGCTACTTCCTATCCATTATCACTCCGTTTGTTTTATCCCTCTTTCATGGCAGATGGTCCTGATTCCTGCCTCTCATCAAGATAAAAACAGCTTAGCTCCAGCAACCTTACCATTCTCCTCAAATGGTTTCCAGTGAACATCCATTTTGTAAAAGTTCTCAGACACCCAAAGGAACTCAAGGCCCTCTTTCTTTCTAAGATCAGCCGGAGGGCGCTGAGCCTCATCTTAAACTGCCTAGATCCTCCTGGCCACCGTACTTTGGTTCTTCTTTCCTGCTTTGGAACTGGAATGAACCTAACTTAGCCCCAAGTGTGGACAGCCTTCCCTTGGGCCCCTGAAGCTGTTTCTCTCCAAACTTAGCTGCCCCACTGCACAGACAAATCTGCACTTGTACCTCCCCTTTGTCTAATGATCTTGATAATTTGTCACCTTTTTATGCCTCCACTCCTTTTTCCTACAGGTTGCTACAATAGCTAAACGAGATAATCCATGCAAGGCCTTCAACATAATGCCTGGCACAGGTAAGCGCTATTATTAGCCACCAATCAGAAATAAACAGTGACCCTCCATTAACTGGAGCTTCAAATCAGTGAGCTGCAATGACGCCCAGTGTAACCTGTCACAGTCCCATCGTATGACCCAACTGTCACACTGTCACTGTTATGGTTTTGGTGAGCTGAGCACAGCTCATTCATGCCCCCCTCCCCATCCCCAGGGCAGAACAAATTGTATTTATTGGTAACACCTGAGCCTGCACAGATACACAAAATACCAATCCATACTTAAATTAGAATTGATATGAAATCAAAATTTTCGTTCCTTAATTGTGCTAGCCACATTTCAGATCCTCAGTAAGCTAACTGTGGCTAATGGCTGCTCTACTAAGCAGTGCAGAGTGAACAGTTGCCTCCCTGTTGGACGTTCTCGTGAGGCTGATTGAGGCTTTGACAGCAGTGAAACCACTAGGATGCCTTCCAACACCACATGCATGCCGTATTTCTGGTTCATTTTCTAATTGACCACACTGTGTGTACCGGCCTGGCTAATTCATTGTCGGCTTGACAAAGTATCTGTGAGAAAGACGCCTCCCTCAGATTGCGTGTAAGCAAGCTTGATGGAGGTTTTCTTGATTGATGATTGACGTGGGAAAGACCAGCTCACAATGCCACCTCTAGGCAGGTGGTCCTGAGGTGTCTAACAGGCTGAGCAAGCCAGTCAACAACACCACTCCAATGCCTCTGCTTCAGTTCCTGCCCCAGGCTCATGCCCTGACTTCCTCAGCAACAGAGTGGCACAAGCTGGAATAACACACACACCCCCTCCAGCTTTTGGTTGTGGTCTTTATCACAGCGATGAGAACCCTAACTACGACTTTTCCATGACTGTCATGGTAGGTCCCAGATCAGACCGGGCTTCTTTCCCTTCTCTTTGAGTTAAACAGCAAAGATGCTTTCAGTGTGTTATCGAGCAATACAGTCGGTGAGAGGAAGCTTCCAGCTTGAGAGGCGGGCTAAGTAACATAGAGGGTCAGAGGCTCTCATGTTCCCTTTGCATGGGTCTTCTCACCCAGTTCATAGTTATGTTAAGCCTAAGCACTGAATTCTCAAAGAAGGATCTTTAGAAGCAAGAAGTATTATGGTGGTTGAAGAGATGGTCCCGTGGTTAAGAGCACTTGCTACTCTTGAGGAGTTCCTGGGTTCCGTTCCCACAGCTTACAGCCGACAGTCTGTAACTTCAGTTCCAGGGGTCTAATTCCCTTGTCTGGCCTCTTCAGGCTCTGAACTTACATGGCTAAGTACAAACATAAAAATAAATAAAACAAGGAACTCAGGACCACGAGGGGTGCACCCACACACTAAGACAATGGGGATGTTCTATTGGGATCTCACCAAGGCCAGCTGGCCTAGGTCTGAAAAAGCATGGGATAAATCCGGACTAGCTGAACATAGCGGACAATGAGGAATACTGAGAATTCAAGAACAATTGCAGTGGGTTTTTGATCCTACTGCACGTACTGGCTTTGTGGGAGCCTAGGCAGTTTGAATGCTCACCTTACGAGACCTGGATAGAGGTGGGCAGTCCTTGGGCTTCCCACAGGTCAGGGAACCCTGATTGCTCTTCGAGCAGATTGGGGGGGGGGACTTGATCGGGGGAGGGGGAGGGAAATGGGAAGCGGTTGTGGGGACGAGGCAGAAATCCTTAATAAATAAATAAATTTAAAAAAAACACAAAAAAAATAAATAAAACATTTTTAAAAAGGATTATGGATTTGAATATGAAATGTTCCCCGTGGGCTCATGTATTGATCACTTGATCCCCATCTGGTGGCAGTATTTAAGGAGTTTCCTTGGAGGGAGTAGGTCCTGAAGGTGAGTCTTTGAAAGTTGCATTGGTCCCCAATCCCTTCCTTGATTTCCTTACCCACTATGAGGTGAAGAACCTCCATTACCTATTTCTGCCACAGTGGTATTCTTCCTAGAGACCTGAGGCAGAGCAAGCCCAGACAGAACCCTCTGAGACCATCAGCAGAGGAAATCTTTCCCCTTTTATGTTATGTGTGGCAAGCGTTTTCTCATAGTCATGAGGCAAAGTAGCAAATTGAAGAGAGAGAATTCAGTCTCCAGAACAGCCACAAATTGTTTTTCCTATGATTTTTGCATTTTTGCCACAACAAGAAACTTATACACACGCTAAGGAAAGCCCATTGCAGGGTTACTGGGGTCGCATCCAGTTCAGTGTAGAGAACCTTCTCTTTGCAGTCGTGGACTTTGCTCTGGCCTCCCCTCCACTCTCAGTGATTCTTGGGGGCATGTAAATAAACGTTAACTAAAAAGTAAAGGAGCTAGGGTGTCACCCAGTAGGAGAGCATGTGTGAACATAAGACCCTACATTTACTCCCTGCACCAGGCTGAATAAAAGGGATGGCATATGGCTGTTAATATTGATCGTCAATTTGATGAAATCTGGAATGACTTGGAGACCAGCCTCTGCGCATGCCTGTAAGAGAGTGTCTGGATTAGGTTATGTGATCTGGGAAGAGCCACCTTACAGGTGCCCTTGAGGGGCACCCCAGACTGGATAAAAAAGAGAAACCTCTGGACTGTGGCTCCAAGGTGACAGCTACTTCACACTTGCTGTTACGGCTTTGCTGCTCCAGGCTGTCCCTTTAATTTTCCAGCCAAAGCACACCATTCCCTGCACCGCTTCGCTCAATACTTTGCTGCATCAACAAGACAACTAACCAATAAGGAGGTGGGGAGCGTGTTGTCGTTTGATCAGCATACATACTAATCCTAAGAAAACTAGAGATACAAATATGAAAACAAAACTAAAGATCCTTTGAAATCCCAAGACAGCTTTGGGGTGAATTTCCCCAGTTATTCCTATGCTGACACCTCCATGTGCATCTTCACAAAGGGAGATTTCATTATATTTACGGCTTTACTGTTTCATCATTGAGAAAGGGTCTCACGTATTCCCAGGCTGTACTCAAACTCTTACTGTACTCAGAGATGAACTTGAACTCCTGATCTCCCACCTCTGTGGCCCTGGTGCTGGCATTGCTGAGAGTCCAGGAGATAACAGTAACAGATGTCATAGGGCACTAGGGGTCAAACCCAGGGCTCTGTGCATCCTATCAGTGGACCTACACCCCTAAATCTATTTCAGTATCTTTGTTTGTTTGTTTGCTTTTTGAGACGAGGTTTCTCTGTGTAGTTTAGGAG